TCTGGCGACGTTTCAGCGCGATTTGAGGCCTTTTAGTGGGTTTTTTCAAAATCCGCTCTTCTCTACCTAAAAGCAACGACTGCAACAAGTTTTGAAGCAAATCGTTGAGTGAAACATTTTATTTTCGTAGCTTCATCATAACTCCCATACATTCCCTTATAAACCATACACAGGAACCTTGTTTGGGCTGCCTGTGCTAGTACATTAAAATTGCGATCCGAATGACTCAGATGGCCTATTTTCAAGATATGCTTCTCTTAGTGTCACGCGCAAAAATTCAATGTGAGGCTTCGTGCATAATGATTCTTTTGACAGGAAAAAAGTGGGCTATTTTGATACCCAGTGTCGCGAGGGCAGCCCGCCTTTATTACAATATATGAATGTCTGTCAATGCGCAAGTATGAATATAGAAATAAATGGGATTTTAAGTAATATATATTTCAAAGCCTCCAATATCGGACTGGACGGGATTTCAAGTCCAAGCAATTAGTCGCACTAATTGCGTGGACTTGAAATCCCGTCCAGTCCGATATTGGAGGCTTTGAAATGACTTCTCATGCTCATATTTATTCGACTTGGATTAACTGGAACAAAATTAATTCAGTCCTAGGACCAGGTTTCAAGTAACATCATGTGACCCAAAAATAGCCCTTTGATTGGCTGGCTTCCTCATGAATTATTAATGTATGTTATTGGTATGATAACAGCATTTCCACAAAGTGGCCCTTTCTTGCACTGAATTTCATTATGAATTTAGCTGTTGATTTTTGCGAAAGGAGGAAAACCGGAGGACAAACCCTCAAAGCACGGGAAAGAACCGAAAAGCAATCTACTCACATACGACACCGAGTCCGGAAATCGAACTCTGGTCGCCTTCGGCAAAAGGCGAGCGCTCAGAGACCTCATGTGTGAGTGGGCGCACGATTTCTTTTGAAGGGTCGAATCAGTCTCTCAAAAAAGATTTCGTATACGATTAATGACCAGAGGGGCCAGTTTTCAAAGTTCCAAAAAGGTTTTTTGAAAACCAATTTGTACCTCCTATACTATGAAGCGGTCAGAGTGGGCAGTTGTTGAAGTCCCAAAAAGGGTTTACTCTGTCAACATCTACTTAAGGTCCACTTTCTTGACAGTTACACAAGGTATGGTCCCTTGTTAGCGACGCAAGCAGACGCAGCTCCAAACTACAGTAGTCCATGTCCTCATGAAAAGAAGGGACGCAAGCATAAGAGAACGGAAGGTTTCGTTTTTCTTGCATTGGCTTGTGCTTATGCTTTCTTCAGCGGCTTGCGTCGCAAGTAAGAACCAGGCATAAATTTGAAAGTAGTGCTATTTTGAATAAATTATCTCACCATCTCATAAATTATCCCATAATTCGTCTCTCTACAGTTGTACTGAATGTGTGGTCAAAAACGCTTAACTCGCAACCTTTTCGTGAACTCTCTTTGACCCGTCGCCGTCAATAAAATCATCTTTCAATTCATAGTTGACGCCCTGACGGACATCAACAGTTCAAGGGTCTTATAGTAGACATACTAGAGTATTAAATTTTCATCCTGCTGACTCATAAATCACGACATTAATGAACGAACGACTTATTTTTTTAATCCTGCAATTCAATCTTCTACGTCCTGGTATTAGACTTAATTCTAGAGATTTGAACGAGCGAACCACAAAGGAACGCGACGRAAATTTTGTTCCAGTTTAACTCACCCCTCAAGTATGGGCAACTTCAGTGCATCAACACAGCTGGCGTCATAACTTTGCCTTCGTCATAGAAATAGAAAGCTCCCAGAGTAACTACGTTGTGTTTTTACATGTGGTATAGTAKTTACATGAAGAAAAGAGATTTGTTTCTCTGTTTTTGTTACATTGAGTGCCACCACTCGAAAGAAGATACAGATTAACGGAAAATTCAAAAATGCATCTGTTTTGTAAAGATGGTGTTTTCATCTTCCTAATATCAGAAAACCTGGAAGGTTACAGTCATTAGACCTTGTAATTCAGCATAAGACATCCAGAAGTCTTTATATCTGGCAGCAAGAAATTTAAAGCTTTTGTTTAAACTATGCCGAGTAAGGACGGCATTGCTTCAAGTGATGATTCCGCTCTCATAAGAACAAAGACTTTAGAGTTTGATGACGTTCTTCAAGGAGTCGGTGATTTCTCAAGATTTCAACTCATCCAATGGACTTTACTCGTAATGGTTTCTATGCCACAGGTCTGGTATACCTATGCACCTGCATTTGAGGCCAGAAAGGTGCGAGAGTCTCAAATATATTGTGWAAAGGCACCAAATGTGTCTGGGACGGACATTTGTAGCCAGGGCATATGGCTTAATACAACATTTTGTGGGGATTTGCAGTATCAAAGTGACTTTACCTCTATTGCGACTGATGTGAGTATTTCCTTGACTCAAACTATTAAACTCAGATTATTAAAGCTTGGTTCTCACTTGTAGGGACGCAAGCTGAGATGCGACTCCATGCGACTTTATGTCTCACTATGAAAAGGAAGTGATGCAAGTGCCAAGAGAACGGAAGATCTTGCTTTTATTGTTTTGGCTTGTGCTAGTGCTTATGTTTGCGTTGGCTTGCATCGCTAGTGAGAACTAGGGTTTAGATAACAGACGCTTCTACCATTTCAGACCACGTGTCATTCCGTAGAKAATCATTTCTCTATTTAACAGTTACGCATGTGAAGACACAAAAACATGGGTATAACTCAAACAGAGAATCTTATTCTCAAGAGAATGACAYGGGGTCTGAAATGGAAAAAACACTTACGCCCAAGATAAAGAGGTCTATTACGCAGACCTAGTCGCATAGTTTTTTCTTCTTCTTCAGTGGAACCTCATTTGCGAAGATGCCAAGAAGTACATCCCGTTAACCAAGACCATCTTYTATGCTGGTAAACTTGTTGGTGCTTATCTGTTTGGCTGGATATCTGATCGGTATGGTCGTCGTGTTACTTTACTGTCTACCATGTTCATCCAGTTTGTAGCATCTCTGATCCAAAGCTTTTCTGTCAACTTTACAATGTATGTGATTTTAAGAGTTCCTCTTGGGATCTGCAGTGGAGGTAAGTATATGTCAATCATTAACAGATGCCCGTCATCTRCAACTTGAGGTTTCTTTCAGTGCAAAGTTGAGAGCATGTTCCATAGTTGCGCGCATAGGTACAGTCTGGAAGAATTTGTCGACAAGGACTATATACTCATTTTTACACTTCTTATTGCTTAACCTGATGAATAATTTGAAAAATGTTACCCTCAAAAGGGTCTTTATTTGCGCTGGAAAAGTGTGCGCTATGTAATAAAAGACAAACTCTCATCGTATACTCGTCAAGCATACGGGCTTATCCATTCTCAGTAACTTACAAAGCAAACGTTAATATTCAGCTTTCGTTCTAGGTTTATTCATAGCTGCTTTCACACTAATGAACGAAATGGTTCGCCCAAACAGACGAATGTTGGGAGCCACCATTGTGATGTGTTTTCTTGGAGTCTCGCTTACTTTACAATCTTTACTGGCCTATTTTGTTCGAGACTGGAGGAATTTTAATCTCGTTATCACAGTACCTACTGTTCTATCAGCAGTATGTTACTGGTTAGTATGTGAGTAGTAAACTGCTCTCAGACGTACCATACCATACGTATACCATACCATATCACCCCATAGCACACCATATCATACCACCCCATAGCACACTATACCATAGCACACCATACCATACCATACCATACCATA